CAAACGTTTATGCCACAAGTTAGCAGATCGTTCATTTAGTAAACCACGTTTAGTACCAATATTATGATGCAAGGTCAAAAGAGTCTCGGCAAAGAGGTTATCAAGCTTTAATTTATATAAGCCATCACAAAGAATAGCGGAACCGATAAGATGATTTTGTTTAAACAAATTTAAACATCCATTTTCACCATCAAAGAAATATCCAACAGGATCAAGTTTTGATAAGGAAACTAAATTACGAGAAATAGAAGGTACATATAAAGTCTGAAATAAATCTAAATGATGTCCAATATCTAAAATCAAATGATAAGTTCCAATGGCTTCAACTGAAGCTTTGACTCGATTTCCCATGAGGACAAACTTTTCATTTAGATTTATGGTCTGGGCTGAAAGGAATCCCTGCATCGTATTAGTAACATGAGTGGTACATTCAGAATCAATCCACCAAGTATTATAAGGAACTTCTGCAAAATTAGATTCGAAACATGCATAAGAAATAAGCTTACCTTTATTTTCGAACCATGCCTTACATTTCAGGCAGTCCTTTTTATGGTGCCCAGGTTTACGACAGAAATGGCACGTATCCTTCTTGTGTTCCTTATTGTGGATTTGGGCAGAAGACTCATTTATCTTTAGTGGTCCTTGCTTAATGCCCTTTCCAGATCTTTTCTTATATTTCTTTCCAGCTCCTTGATGACTTACGAGATGAACAGAATGAATTCCTTGATTCTTAAGCCTTGTCTCCTCTTGCACGAGCATACTGTGCAATTCATTCACATTCCATTTATCCTTTAAGGTATTATAGTTCATATGGAATGGACCATAGTTGGGAGGCAAAGAGTTGATGATAAATTGTACCAAAAAGTTCTCATCCACAGTTATCCCAAGAGTCTTAAGTCTTGTTGCAATATTACTCATTTCAGTAACATGCTCATGCATACATGTTACGAGAACCATCAAATTTCATGGTGGTTAAGGTACCCATCAGTGTGCCAGCAAGTGATTTGTCAGCTGTTTGGGAACGTTCTTCCACAAACTTCATATATTCCTTAGCATTATCAGTTTCAGGGATAGTAGACTTGATATTCTTTACTAAGGTCATCCGCATAAACATTAAGCTTAATCCATTTGACATTTCCCAAGCTTTATGGACAGATCTTTCATCAGCACTGCTCTCATCAGTAAGATCAGTAGGTTTCTCAACTTGAAGTGCCAAGTCCAAGTCCAAAACACCTAAATTGAATTGAACTTGTTCACACCAGTCAGAGAAATTGAGCCCATTGAATAGTGGTACAGATGAAGCATGCGAATGCAGAGAAACGGGAATAGATAATACAAAATATGAAATGCTCTAACATTAATACTTTGAGTTTTAATTTCAGATTCTAATAACAATAAATGTATAGCTTAATTCTCCTTTGGGTGATATTACGTTATACCATCATAATAAAAATAATGATGCTAATTAATTTCATTTAATTGGTAATTAAACATAATCTAATCAAACATGTATGATATCTTTGGATATTCAAAACACATCCGACCAAGTAAATCAATTAACCACGATCATGTTCAAGATTAATAAAATTAACTGATCAACCTTTGGGCGATCCATAATAATTTTATAATCTTTGAACGTCAATATACTCTTGACACCAATAATAAAGTCATTTTCATTTACAAGCATCAAACTATCAAGAGTAATTGATAAATAAATTATGTGATTTAGTGTTCAAAATACCATAATGTTTGGCCACTTTGGTGACTAACAAACAACATTAATCAAACATTAATTACATAAATAAAACATTTATCACTTAATGCTTTTAGTCATTTTCTTGTTTATTCATTATTGACATAAATAGACTAGGCACGTTCCAAGTTCCAACACAAATAAACAAGGCAGTAAAATTCTACTTATATTAAAGATGCATTTCTTGGTGAGCAGAATAGTCAATTATCAATAAATTACCCATTAATTGAATATTAACATGATTCAGTAATAAATAGAACATAAATTTGCAGTCAAGGCAGCACTAATAATTACAATTAGTTATTCATTCACATGTAGAACTGAAAATCCATTTATTTATCATATATCATTGGTCAATTTGGCCCCCACAGAGTAATTGGAAATTGGAAAAAAAATGCTTCAACCAAGAAAAATGGAGTGACAGCTCATGATGGCAAAATCAAAGATTGGACTTCTCTCAAACCAATCATAATTTAACAGACACAACATGGTATTTCATCAATAATTTGACGGAGAGTAAATGAGAAATCGCACTATTGCAATATAAAAAAAAATTGACTTAATGTGTACAGATTTCAACCCATAAATAACAATAAAACCTATGACCGGTCATCATCAGCAGTAAATGCAGAGTCTTTGTCAGTACCATTATAGATTAAACGAGTTCTAAATTCATTGGTAACCAATTCATGAAACTATCCACTAATAATTATCCATGGCCATTGATACGGTTAAACAAAATTTTGTGGTCAGAAAATATTCATCAGTGGAACCATCATTCTAATTTCAGATCTTAACCCATAGATCTATAAAGAAGGTTAAAGATCCCATGCGAAAACAGTATCTTTAAAGGAAAATCAAGAATTTCACTACTTGGGCTCTGATACCACATGTAAGACATTAAACCATAATACCAAGATCTTTAGAATTCATGATTTTCACATATGAATTTAATTGATCAAGAAACATACCTTGATCCATGGCAATAATTGAGAATTTTAGATCTGCAAAATAATAAACTGTTAAATTAAAGAAACTGTTCTCTCACTTTTCCTCTCTTTTATTGAATGAATTAATTGATGGGTTTCATTCACATTTATAGGCAGAGAGAGGCAGTCTCCTATGTGCCATAAAACTCTCCACTTTCCATCAAAATAGACAATTATAAAACTACCACTCTCAATTGGACCAATAGGATTTTAGTAATATTAACCACCTTTAATTAATTCTTTAATATTACATGGGCCACAAATAATTGGTTTTACAGTTTATACTTTACACATCGCTCACAAGAGGAGTCCCCATGATTCAAAAATATTTATGCATTTACAGTAGTTTTTTAACTACCGATTCCTCCCAATTTGAATTTATGACAGCGTGACCCGTTAATCTTTCGAGTCAATGCTCGAACAATCTTCAAAATATTTCTTGTTCTTTGAAATTACTGATATATAATTTATTAAAACATGCAGAGTACTTGTATGAAATAGTTTTAAAAGTTGATAAAAATTAAGGTTAGAAGCTGACGATGCCAATATTGATACATCCCTAGGAATTCAACCCGAGGACTCCATATATACCCCAGCTCATCTTTCTGCTATGGTCCTCGGGGTCTCCCTAAGACCTCGAGATATTTTTTGTCCTCGAGATACCTCGAGGACATATTAACATCATCTCAAGTCCTCAAGAATAGTCCTCGGGACATATACCACCAACATACCTCCTAAGACCTAGGTATCTAACAAACAAATCTAAACACCCAAGGATTCTATATCAACCCTTATACCACTTGTCAAACAATTCCATTACAAGTAGAGCACTCTCTATAAACCTTGGATAAAAACATCCAACCAGCACAATCCTACTAGGAGTACACTACCTACCCCTATAAAAGTAGAACCTTGGGCCATTATTCAGGTACGTTTTTCATTGTTCTCCAGCACATAGCCTCACGCATATAATTCCCTTTCTGACTTAAGTATCGGAGGGGCGACGAGAACACACCTCGTTGCCTTGTTTCAGGTACCGGAAGATCACGTTCGTGCTCCTCATCAATCATCAAGCTCGGGAAATCTACAGGTACAATTTTTGGTAGCATTATTGGCGCCGTTTGTGGGAAGCGCTACCAAAAGCCATGGTAAACACACGTTCAGGTCTTCCACCAGCAAGCTCATCCGCTCCAAACCAACCCCCTCATGAGGATGTCCCTGTTCCTCAAGAGGAATCATCAAAAGTGCCAGAGCCCCAGTCGGAAGTCGTCACTGCTGGAGCCTTTGAAGAGCTCAGATAACAGGTCACCACACTAACTCAGCTGCTAAGTCAAAGAAATTCGCATCCGTCATCCACACCAGCACCCCAGGGGGGTTTTATGGCTGATGCTCGAGCTCAAGCTCAAAGACATGTCCCTGACAATGGCGGAGCAGGGGCCTCTGGTATACCACATGTGACCTCGGCCTCGAGATCAGTGAGCATGGAGTCCGGGGAACTCGCTAGGATTATTCAAGAAGGAATCACGGCGGGCCTACTTCAGGGCAATAAAGGGACGACAAGATTCAGTCCCAACATTCCCTTTACTCCCGAGATATTGACATTCCCCTTGCCAGACAGATTTAAGTATCCTAGGATCAAAGAATATGATGGGACCACCGATCCAATTAATCATCTTAACGTATACACGGACGTCATGAATCTACAGGTCGCGCCAGATCAGGTGATGTGCAAGGCCTTCCCGCAAACTTTGACGAATGCTGCTAGGGATTGGTTCTCAACCTTAGAGCCCAACTCCATAGCCTCATTCTCAGATTTGGTGGACAAGTTCTCTGTTTTCTTCGCAAGCAGTAAACACATCAGGAAGACAATGGCTTTCCTCATGCAACTTAGACAAGGGCAAAATGAGACCCTACGTGATTTTATGACTAGGTTCAACAAGGAAAGACTTCAGTTTCCTGACCTACATATAACTGCAGCAGTTTCTGCCCTCACATATGCCATAAAGTGTGAGGCTTTCAAGATGTCTTTATCCAAAACTCCGCCAAAGACAGTGACCGAGCTTCTTACCCGAGCCGAGAAGTACACAAATATGGAGGAAACACTGAACCCGAGAAAGGTTGGACCACCCCATGACAGGGTCGAGCATAAACGACAGCATGACCCCAACCCCCGTGAAGAATAACATCGAAAAAAATAGAAACAGGAGGTTCTTCTGACGTCATTCACATGTTTAAATACGTCAAAGACAAATATATTGATGGAGATCAAGGATATGAAGGAACTCAAATGGCCTGTCAGAATGAGGTCACCACCCGAATCCAGGGACATGAACAAGTGCTGTGAGTTCCATCGGGATCATGGGCATACCACGGAGAACTGTAAGGCCCTACAACGGGAGATTGAAGCCTTTATTGAAAGAGGATTCCTGAGTTCCTACGTTGGTAACGACAAATGTCCGAGGAACGATCGTGGTAGGGAAAGAGCCCCTGAGGCAAAAAGGAATGGTCAACCCACTTTTGGAACCATCAATATCATCATTAGGGGTATTACCTCGGGAGGAGACTCCAACAGTGGAAGAAAACAATATGCCCGACAATATGCCTTGGCCTCTGGGACGCCTCATGGAAAGCTGGATGATATTACTTTTGGGACCGGAGACTTAGAAGGTGTATCACTTCCACATGATGACACCTTGGTCATCTCAGCAATTGTGGCCAATTTTGAAGTAAAGAGAATCTAGGTTGACAACGGGAGTGCGGCCAATATACTTTCACAAGAAGTTTTTGTCAAAATGGAAATCTCATCTCAGCAGCTCAAAGCGGTTAAAACTCCTCTCCAGGGGTTTGGGGGAGGAGTCATCACTCCAGAGGGTGTCGTCGAGCTTCCTCTAACTTTGGGTTCTGGCCAGAAATAGGTTACGGAGATGACATCTTTTCAAGTGATACGTGTCTCAATGGCCTATAACGCTATTCTGGGAAGACCACTCCTGAACAAGATCAAAGCCATTGTGTCTACCTTCCACCTAGCCATGAAGTTTCCAACAAGTAATGGCGTTGGGGTCGTGCGTGGAGACCAGACAGCTACCAGACAATGCTATGTTGCCAGCGTTCGGAAAATAAATAACGACGTCGTGCAAATCTCGAGGATTGAGCCCGAGGACGGGCAACAAGTCAGACTTGCTCCTGTCGAAGAATTGTTGAAAATTGAGCTCGAGCATGATAAGAAGGTTACGATTGGTCGGGATTTTGACGTCACCCTGAAGATAGAACTTGTTGGTTGCTTATCTCGCAACATTGACGTTTTTGCCTGGAAGGTTGAGGATATGTCAAGGATAGACCCTAAAATTGCAATCCACAGGTTTAACACTAGCCCAGGGGCCAGACCAGTAAAGCAGAGGAAAAGACAGTTTGCTCCAGAACGTCGGGAGGTCATTCGCGAAGAAATTAACAAACTCGTCAGTGCTCAATTCATTCGGGAGGTCCAATATCCCGATTGGCTTGCCAATGTTGTTTTAGTGAAGAAGGCCAATGGTAAGTGGAGGGTCTGCATTGACTTCACAGATCTTAACAAAGCATGTCCAAAGGATAGTTATCCCCTACCGCGGATTTACAACTTGGTGGATAGCACGTTTGGACATGTATAGCTTCTTGGATGCATTTTCTGGTTATCATCAAATCCTCATGGCCGAGGAAGATCAAGAAAAGACGTCATTCATGGTCGATTTCGCCATATACTGTTATAAGGTCATGCCTTTCGATTTGAAGAATGCAAGGACAACATACCAAAGGCTCATCAACAAAGTCTTTGCTAACTTGATTGGAAGGAATGTGGAGGCATACGTGAATGACATGGTGGTCAAGAGCAAACAGGTGGACCAACATATTTCAGATCTTGAAGAGGTTTTTGACACCTTACGAAAGTACAGAATGAAGTTGAACCCCGCAAAATATACATTTGGCGTGGCCTCGGACAAGTTCTTGGGCTTTCTGATCACTCATCGGGGGATAAAGGCTAACCCTGACAAAATACAAGCCTTGGCGTCTATGGAATCACCAAGGAACAAGAAAGAGGTACAGAGGTTGACTGGTAGGATAGCAGCCTTGAACAGGTTCATGTCCCGAGCATCAGATAGGTGCTATCCCTTCTTTAAAGTCCTCAGAGGAAACCAAGACTTTGATTGGAGTGAAGACTGTGAGAAAGCTTTTCAGGAGCTCAAGCAAACATTGGTATCTCCTCCTATTCTCATTAGGCCTGAGCCTGGTGACACCTTATTTTTGTACCTGGCCGTATCTCAAAATGCGGTCAGCGGGGTCTTGGTGAAAGAGGTTAACAGAGTCCAACAACCTATCTACTATGTAAGCAAGACCCTACTAGATGCAGAAACAAGGTATACTTTGGCGGAACAACTTGCCCTTGCCTTGGTGATAGCAACACGAAAACTCCGACAGTATTTTCAGTCTCACCTTATTGTGGTGCTCACTAATCAACCACTTAGGCATATACTTCAAAAGCCGGACGTCTCAGGAAGACTGATGAAATGGGCGATCGAGCTTGGAGAATTTGACATCGAATTCAAACCACCCCATCTATTAAAGCCCAATAACTAGCCGACTTCATTGCAGAACTAATCCCTAGGCCTCGGGGGCCAGGAGAAAGCTCGAGCATGAGCACCAGTTTGGACACTTGGCAAATTTTTGTAGATGGAGCATCAAACTCCTCGGGCTCGGGTGCTGGGGTCATCATCATCAGCCCTGACAAACAAACGGAGATTCAATGCGCTCTTAGGTTCGAGTTTGAAGCAACCAATAACGAGGCTGAGTATGAGGCCGTCATTATTGCTCTGGAGCTAGCCCTTAGCCTTGAGCTCGAGTTCGTGAAGATATTCAGCGATTCACAACTGGTGGTCGGACAGATTGAAGGATCATTTGAAAAGAAAGACGAGAAAATGAGTTTGTACTGTATGAAGGTTTAGGATCTTCAACGAAAATTCAAGAGTTGTGAAATTGCAAAAATTGCTCGAAAGGACAACGAAAAAGCAGACGCATTATCCAGGCTTGTGTTCATGGGAGTAGACAGCCTGGACAGAACAGTTCACATCAAAGTCATCACAGAACCCAGCATCAATCAAATCCCCGATGTCATGGACATTGAAAACGAACCATCTTGGATGGACCCAATCATAGAATTCATCACAAATGGAAATCTACCAAGCGATGCCAGGTTGGCTAGAAGTATCAGAGCTCGAGCTCCTAGGTACTGCATGATCAACGGTGTCCTCTTTCGCAGAAGTATTACTCTTCCATACCTAAGGTGCCTCAGACCATCAGAATCATCCTAGGCCCTTGCTGAAGTTCATGAAGGTGTGTGTGGGAATCATCAAGGAGCAAGGGCTCTAGCCTTTAAACTCATACGATATGGGTACTATTGGCCAACTATGAAGAAAGACGCCTCAGAATATGTTAAGAGATGTGATAGATGCTAGAGGTTTGGTAATGTTATCCACTCCCCAGTCGAAGACCTCACCAACATTAACTGTTCGGCCCCGTTTGAACAATGGGGAGTTGACATCCTCGGCCTGTTTCCTATGGCAAGAGGTCAATTAAAGTTTGTTGCTGTAGCAGTAGAGTATTTCACAAAATGGGCAGAGGCCGAACCTCTCGCCACGATATCGGAGCCCAAGCTAAGAGCCTTCACTTGGAGGTCTATCATTTGCAGGTTCGGGATACCGAAAGTCCTCATCACCGACAATGGCAGGCAATTTGACAATCAACAGTTCAGGGACTTTTGCTCAAACCTTGGGATTGATCACCGTCTGACTTCAGTTTCGCATCCTCAGAGCAATGGTCTGGCCGAGGTAACAAATCGAATCATATTACAAGACCTCTGAACAAGAATTAATAATGCTAGGGGTTCTTGGTCCGACGAGCTGCCTTCTATACTATGGACATATCGAACAACTCATAGGACGACCACAGGAGAAACCCCTTTTATGTTAGTCTATGGCATTGAAGCAATGGTCCCGGTTGAAATTAGGCTGCCAAGCCATAGGAGGCTCGTGGCAGAAACCTCGGGGCAAACAACTGAACACCTTGATCTCTTGGAAGAAGTGCGGGAGCGAGCCGCTATAAAGGTGGCCTCTTACCAAACTAAGACAGCAAAACGTTTTAATAACAAAGTCAAGATTCGGAGGTTTAGAGCAGGCGACTTGGTCTTAAGGAGGGCCGAAGCTGCAGGTCACCCCCAGGGAAGCTCGGGCCCATCTGGGAAGGACCCTTTGAGGTCATACGACAGGTTCGCAAAGGAGCATACAGTCTAAGAGGCACTTCGGGTAGACCTCTTCCAAGGCCCTGGAATGCTGATAATCTGAAAATATATTACAAGTAACATTTTCGATGCCATCTAGGAGATTTTCTTTTTATTCCTGCATTTTTTCTTTTGAATATTATTTTTGGTTCCTCGGGCCTGCGCGCCCTTGCATTTTATTTCTCTAGTTTAGCGGGCCTGCGTGCCCATGCATGTTTTCTGTTTTCTTTCATAATGAACTACGTTCGGTTTGATCCCGTTTGGGTACGTAGGCAGCTTGGATACAATATAAATCCGAGTCCAGTCCAAGAAATTAGTGAATTCAAACCTCGGGTATAACAGCCCTTTAGTTTGCTTTGCGCCCAGGAATTACCTAAGCCTTGCCCCACGCAAGCACCAAAAGCCTTGCCCCGAGCAAGCACCAAAAGCCTTTTCCTGCGCAAGCACCAAAAGCCTTACCCCAAGCAAGCACTCAAAAAAAGCCTTGCCTCGAGCAAGCACTCAAAAAAAAGCCTTACCCCGAGCAAGCACCAAAGCCTTGCCCTGCGCAAGCACAAAAAGCCTTGCCCCGAACATGCACAAAAGCCTTGCCCCGTGCAAGCAACAAAAGAAGGCCCGGAGCGTCACCAAAAGCCTTGATCATATGCTCAAGCATAAGCCGTTATAGTAACACCCGGAGACATATAAAAATCCTACATCATTTTTGACAATCTCTCGAGGATATCACATGGGCTCATAACAACTTTTTAAGTTAGTTTTGCTCGAAATCTAGAGTCCTTGAGAATCGCACAATCCCTCGACGATGTCACGTGAGCAGATCGCAACTTTTTTAAGTTAGGTGTGCTCGAGGTTTACAATCCTCGAAAATATCACATCCCAACTTTTTAAATTAGCTGTGCTCGAGGTTTATAGTTCTCGAGAATATCACATCCCAACTTTTTAAGTTAGTTGTGCTCGAGGTTTAGAGTCCTCGAGAATATCACATCCCACCTTTTTAAGTTAGTTGTGCTCGAGGTTTACAGTCTTCGAGAATATCACATCCCAACTTTTTAAGTAGTTGTGCTCGAGGTTTATAGTCCTCGAGAATATCACATCCCAACTTTTTAAGTTAGTTATGCTCGAAGTTTAGAGTCCTCAAAAATGTCACATTACCACTTTTTAAGTTAGTTGTGCTCGAGTTTTAGAGTCCTCGAGAATATCACATCGCTGCCTTTTAAGTTAGTTGTGCTCGAGATCATTTTAATCCCTTAAGATTATATGCTCGAGTTGTGGAATCCTCGAGTAAATTCTTCAATGTCGCATGAGCAGCTAATTTCCAATTTGTTTGCTCGAATGTATGAAGTCCAAGAGGTCGAGATAAATAGTTCAAATGCAATAAATTAACTTCAGAACATACATAGTCCTCGATCAAAATACATGTTCAAAGTTTAAACAAAAATTACAAAAGATCGGGGTGGGGGAAGTCATCCAATGTGGCCAAGAGGAAGGTCGAGGTTGCTGATGTCAATCTCAACGTCGCCCTCAAGACCGTCCTCCTCGTCTCCACCCGATCCTTCTTCATCTTCCAAACCCGAGAGCTCCAAAGTATCAGCGATGGAAGGCACTGTCTTCAGGTCATCAGGAGCGACGTCGGGCAACTTCTGACGGAGGAAGGCCCGGGCTTCTTTCAGAGCATGGAAGTACGCCCCCGACGTGTACTCCCCTTTTATCTTGTCACAGTCCTCGGAGGTTTTGAACTCCTCCCAGGCCCTGTCCCTGACAGCTGCGAGCTCGCGCTCAAAATTCTCTGTCTTCTAGATAAGCTTGAGCCTTGCACCCTCGACCTCAACCTTTGCTGTAACAAGGTCATCCCTGGCCTTTGCAGCCTCCATTCTCGCGTCATCACGCTCCTTCAATAAAACCTCGACCTGAGCCTCGAGGTTTTGAATCCTACTGTCCTTGGAGGCCATTGACGTCTCCACCCCAACTGCCCTCTTGGCCTCCTCAAGCCCTTGCAGAGAAAGTCCTCGAGCTACACTCAACATCTGGAAAAAATGGAGAAAATGTCAAGTATTAATCTCGACCAAAAAACTTGAGGCTAAAGTTGAAAGTTCGAAGATTACCTTCACTGTAAGACCCTCGAGGACCTTCATCCCATCCTCGAGCTTCACCTTCTCCTTGTATTTGTTCACGAGCTCAGGAGCGAGGTGGCAAGTCTCAAAGTCCCCGGTAAGAGACGGGTCATCCTCAAGGTCAACCACTTCAGAAGGAGACCGAGGAGTGACGACCCGATGAGTGGGAGATCTGAGGTTCGGTTGCAGAGGGGTCGAGACTTGAGGATGTGCTCGAGATGTTTCGCCAGGCCCCCTCACACCCTCAGGAGTCCCTCGAGGCCTCTTCTTGCCTTTCTTCTTCGGGGGCTGCCCCTATGGATGAGCGTCAGTCCTTGTGCTGACAAAGTTCCAGAGAGCCCGAGGATCAAAAGACATGCCTGCAAAAACTTACAAACATTTTAGAACGAGCACAAGGTCAGGCTATTTTTCAAAAAATAATAAAGGAACATCCCTACCCTCGACGCCTCTAATATCTGCCAGGTCTATAACCTCCTCCCCAATCTCCTTCATCGTCGAGAAAAGGGGGCTGAGCCCGACCAGTATCCTCCTATGCTCTTCCAAAACATCCAGATACACCTGGTCCTCACAGAACTTCTCGGCGTCGGGGATTTCCCAATCAGGCTAGAAAGGAAGGTCGGGTTCTTGCGCTATAACATAAAACCACCCCTCCCTCCACCCCTTCAAAGAGCTCGCCATCCTCGGGTTTTTAAAACCCCCAATCGTCGAGAAATAGCCAAAACAAGTGTATCGAGGATGCTTCTTAAGCTCGAACACTAATTTACTAAGGCCAATGTTGGGCTCGATACCTAAGTACCTACATGCTATGAAAAAATAAACGAGCATTCTCCAGGCGTTGGGCACTAATTGAACCGGGCACATGAAGTGCTCGACTAATAGAGCAATGAAAAAGGGGTGAAGGGGCCACCTAAAGCCAGCCTTAAGGGTCTCCCTAAAAATAACAAACCCCCCTCGTCGTGCTCGAACAATTCTATCCTCGGGGCCAGGAAATCTAATGTCGCAATTAGGCATTATACCGTATTCCCTAACTACAGCTATGGCTGAGTGCTTTTTAAGCCTACAGGGTTCGTCGGGATACTCAAAGACCATATTAACCTGAGCCTCGGGAGTAGCCTCTAGGGGAATAGCCGTCAGTATTATCGACGTCCCTACGTCCTCACTACTACTAGAACTACTAGAAGAATCTCGACCCTCACTACTCGACATCTCTTAGCAAACTTAAGACCTAGCTTATGAATAACTTAAAGTCTCGAGCCTTACCAGGAGTTCCCGACGACTTGAGAAGTTCCCAAAGTGTTTCTCTCGAGCACGACCTCGCAGAACTCAGATTTACAGTGGGTAAAAGTGAAAAATAAAGGTGAGAACAGCAGTATTTATAGGTGAAAACGATGGGAGGCCAAAGGTCGCAAATCCAAGCCATTCTCTGCAACGGTCATATCTCGACCTCTATCATCAGCCATCACTTCTCGACGACGATTTGAGAAATGACATAACTCATGTGCACCCCATCCTAAGAGCTAGATCTCTAGGAAAAGTGCACGGGGGCCAGTGACGATGCCAATATTGATACACCCCGAGGAATTCATCTCGAGGACTCCATATATACCCCAGCTCATCTTTCTGCTATGGTCCTCGGGGTCTCCCTAAGACCTCGAGGTATTTTTTGTCCTCGAGATACCTCGAGGACATATTAACATCCTCTCAAGTCCTCGAGAAAAGTCCTCGGGACATATACCACCAACATACCTCCTAAGACCTAGGTATCTAACAAACAAACATAAACACCCAAGGATTCTATATCAACCCTTATACCACTTGTCAAAAAATTCCATTACAAGTATGACACTCTTTATAAATAAAAATTCCCTTGGATAAAAACATCCAACCAGCACAATCCTACTAGGAATACACTACCTACCCCTATAAAAGTAGAACCTTGGGCCATTATTCAGGTACATTTTTCATTGTTCTCCAACACATAGCCTCACGCATATAATTCCCTTTCTGACTTAAGCATCGGAGGGGCGACGAGAACACACCTTGTTGCCTTTGTTTCAGGTACCGGAAGATCACGTTCGTGCTCCTCATCAGTCATCAAGCTCGGGAAATCTACAGGTACGATTTTTGATAACATCAGAAGCCTTATCGGACAAACTATAATTTTTTTTGTCAAAATCTTCGTCAAAAAATCCATAATCAATAATCTGTGTTTGTTTAAAAGATACCTGCCTCAAACATTGCCTTACTTTTAGCTACACCATCTCTAAAAATTGACCTTCCCGTTCGCATTTCCATGGCGGGTTCGGACTCTATAAATACTTCCATTCGATCTTACGAATCTACATTCCCCTTCCGATTCTCATTTTTGAGTTGGGACGATCCCAACTACTCTCACCCCAACACCCTCAACAATGGCTTCTCCCAGACCAATTTTCTGCATTCTTTTCCTCTTCTTTTCCCTCTCATCCGCACTCGACATGTCGATTGTTAAATACAATGAAAATCATAAAATGGGCTCCCAGGATGATATCATGGCGTTGTACGAATCGTGGCTTGTGAAACACGGGAAGGTGTATAATGCTTTGGGCGAGAAGGAGAAGCGCTTCGCGATTTTCAAGGATAACTTGAGGTTTATTGAGGAGCATAATTCTGTAGACCGGTCGTATAAACTTGGCTTGAACCAATTTGCTGATTTGACGAATGAAGAGTACCGGTCCATGTTTGTGGGAGGGAGAATGGAGAGGAAAACCCGGCTGGTGAAGGGTGGGCAAAGTGATCGATACGTCTTTAAGGCCGGCGAGGAGTTTCCTGATTCTGTTGACTGGAGAGAAAAAGGCGCCGTCGCTCCGGTCAAGAATCAAGGCCATTGTGGTTAGTTTAGTTTAGTTTTTATTTGAATTTAGTCTTAGAATTAGATTTTAAATTTCGAATCAAATAACGTATTTAGCCATTATAGCCCACAAACAAAAATTGACATATATACTGTTGGTTTTTTGAATATCTACAATCAACGTTGTGGAGTTGTGCTTATTTTTGTCAAATTTGAAGATTTATGTGTTTATATAGAATAATGCTGCTTGCATGATATATATAGTTATATAATGGTTTAATAATGTCTCAAAGGATAGTGGTGAAGTTTATTTATTTATTTAATTTGGTCGAAGAAATTCTGACCGAATCATATCTCGCCACATCACGTATATATATCAACCATTATACACACATAGTACAACCGTTTTATATATCAGACAATCAAAATCTTGGTTGGCATTTTATTCCTGTTCTATATGTGGTGACCCATTCGTAGAGTACAATGATTTAAACCTCTTAGTGACAATTTTTCGTCATTAACAAATTCAAGATTCGAATAAGCTTGGTTTAAGAGAGGTGATTATCTAGCAGTCTTCCTAACATGAACTACCTTAAATACTTCCTGAGAAATGGTATAGTCTTGGAATTTTGAACACGGAATATGGTTCTTGGTTTTACTGTAAAACTCAAGGGAAAAAAAATATATATGGAAAACAATGTTAATGTCAATGTAGTGGTGGAAGGCTCTGCATTTTTACAGTATTTATTTTGTAGCTATGTAGTTCTTATAGGTAAAATTTATTTTGGCGTTTTACAGCATGATTTCAAAGTAAATAGAAATAATGCTTACTTCAGTTGTTCTTTAATGAAGGGAGTTGCTGGGCATTCTCTACGATTGCTGCTGTTGAAGGAATAAATAAGATTGTAACGGGCGAGCTGATAACTTTGTCTGAGCAAGAGCTGGTTGATTGTGATAAGATGTATAACCAGGGATGCAATGGGGGTCTAATGGACTATGCCTTTGATTTCATCACTAAAAATGGTGGCATTGACAGTGAGGAAGATTACCCTTACAGAGCACTAGATGGCAGGTGTGACCAATCTCGGGTATGTTTAATAATGAAATCGTGAGAAGAGAACATAATTTTTTAAAACTTCTTTGAACTTTGTTTTCGTGTGATAAACACAAGCTTTTGGTTGGTTAATCGACTACTTTACTTTTGCTTTTCTTTAGAAAAATGCTCGGGTTGTCTCTATTAATGGTTATGAAGATGTTCCGGAAAATGATGAACAGTCACTCAAGAAGGCTGTGGCGCATCAACCAGTTAGTGTTGCCATTGAAGCTGGGGGCAGGGCTTTCCAACTATATCAGTCGGTATGATATTATAATTCACATTTGTTTACAAGATTAAAAAACTTCTATGGCACGTTGATAGAGTATTAGATGAAATTAAGTTAAAATCTAGTTTATACTGTCTGGTCTTCTTATTACTACGTACCAAACATACACCTATTGACTATATCTTTGCATTGACAATGATGAGTTCAAGTATCCTTGCTTCATGTAGGGTGTCTTCACAGGAACCTGTGGAACCGAACTAGATCATGGTGTTGTTGCTGTTGGATATGGTACAGACAACGGAATAGATTACTGGACCGTGAGGAATTCATGGGGCCCAAGTTGGGGAGAGAACGGATACATTAGGCTTCACCGCAATGTGGTTAATACCACCACTGGGAAGTGTGGGATTGCAATGGAGGCCTCATACCCCGTCAAGACCGGTCCGAACCCTCCTAATCCTGGCCCATCTCCTCCAGCTCCAGTGAAACCTCCCACGGTGTGTGATGATTACTACACATGTCCTAAGGGAAGCACCTGCTGCTGCGTGTACCAGTTTGACGACTTCTGCTTCGGCTGGGGATGCTGCCCTTTCGAGTCTGCTACCTGCTGTGATGACCACTACAGCTGCTGCCCACATGACTATCCTGTCTGTGATGTTGAAGTTGGGACTTGCCTGATGGTAAGTTCACCATGTTTTCTGTTATTGTCCTCCCCGTCCCCCACACTTCACCCCCTCGATTATCTCACACGAACTATTTTAATGTTCTTTTCAAGATTTATTCTGATCTTTCCTTAATGTTATTTAACAGAGCAAGGGCAACCCGATGGGCATAAAAGCATCGAAACGAAGCCCTGCTATGCCAAACTGGGCTCATCTGCAGGCTGGTCGGAAGGTCACCAGCCTATGATTAAGAGCCATGTTTGGTATACAATGTTCGTTGACAACATGCCACTATGATTAAGAACCATGTTTGGTATACAATGTTCGTTAACAACATACCATGTGGCATGTTGTTATTGGACAATTTGAAAAATCGTTTGTTTTTTTAACTGACAGTTTTTTGACACGTCAACATTGTCAACCAATGTTATCATCCAATATTGTACAAATAGTATAATTGCTGTGATTAATTCTCTAAATATTTAGGTTGTGGGTGATTGAAAAGTTTACGATATGGGATTGAGTTTATTTCTTGATGAGCCAGTTTCAAAAATTGTGGGACAACTTGCTGTGGATAGATTAACACTTCAGCGTGCATCTTTGCAAATAGTCTCTTATTTTTTATTAAAAAAAAAATTGACAGAAATGTAAAATTTCATAGCCTGATCTCAATTTTGGCTATATTTTTTATTCGTTACCATTAATTTAATGAATTCTCAATTTTTTCAAACTCAAAAAAAATCATATTATTAATTCTTTCATCTGAGACCTATGGAAAAATTATTTAAGCAATTATTTCTTTTATTATTCATTAAATGCTTTTTTGGACATAAGATAATAACATTTATTTTTTAAAAGAACCCCGCCTTGTTTAATTTACTTACCAAACATGCCATAAATATTTTTAAGTCGTCCATATTGCAAAAGAATAAAATACCATCAACTCATGTATATATTTCGTGTTGATATTCAAGCTTTACCCTTGTCGTTACTTCAAATAACAAGCCAATTTATTTTGAATCGAGCAGACATCAGAATATGATTTCCAAATCAAAATAATATGCTAATGCTTATGATTTGCACGTTCTCACTAAAAGAATATGATAGGTTCTCAAATTCTGGAATGCATGCTGGGAAATTTCGAAATGAGACTTTGGGTTTCAGGGTGCCTATGTTACTCTATTAAGTATTCTTATGTTAATTTTTCATTCATTGGTCAATTTTGATGAACTAGGCTCGTGACTTCAAGCTAAATGCCGTGTCAATATTTTCTTAATGTTCCCTTTAATTTCTTTCTTACTTCAATCCCTTCTAGTTATGTTACAAGATGGTCATGGATATGTGTGAATTGCTTTTATCAAATCAAATGCATGATCTTTATGTTGTATTTATTTTGAGATTGACAATGTTACTAAAAGACGTTCAAGCACAAAATTTGTCCTAAAACATCTAAGATAATCAATTTATGTTTTAGCAATTTACTTGTAAGTTTGTCATGTGTGTACTGAGAAAATTTTTTGGTACGAACTTTTCTAGTTAGTATGGAAGTGAGCAACCAAACACTTATCTTACTTGTTGAGTATTTCTATGAATAGATATGTAATGATGTATGAGATAATATTTTGCATAGCAGACTAATTTATAATTTATAGGAGGATTTCAGGATATATGTTTAATTGAAGTCAAGATATAAATATGGCGAAGGATAAATTGTATAATTGAAGTCTATTATTTAATTGATTGCATTTAAGTGTTCTACCTCTTAAACTACTCAAATCATATTTGAATTAATTAGTTGTTTACGTATAAAAATTATATTAAATAAAATATGAAGAGAAATAAATGTTCCATGAAAAAAAATGAATGTCTCTTGAAGATGTTTTGACCCTAAAATCGAAGCATATTACATTTAAAGAGTGTATAAAGGACTAGTGACGAATTGGCGTTGCACAATGACTGTTTAATTTTAAAAGATATATTATTCAAATGATTATATATTTTAAACACGTAATATTTAATTATATAGTGTTAGTAATGTGAATAAATGAGTTTATGATATATTCGAGTTTTAGTACTATTATACATGCGGAGCATTACCTTTATTTATTCAATTGTATAGACAGCTTCACATACTTATCAGTATTATCTTATAATATATATGTGTGTGTGTGTGTGTGATGAAATGAAATACATGAATTTAGAACATTATTGCATGCGTTTAATTTTTATAAAAACTCACGAATGCATATATTAAGAATGAAAATCACAATTATTGAAGAAAGACAAAGCATCGCTTGATAATGCTAAGTTAAAGGATTTTCACCTATATATATGTCAAATAAGAAACCGTTTTATTCTGTTGACAAAAGTATTTAATTACATGAAGTGACTCACTGGCAAGTTGACAAACTGTAGCTCCTCTAGTACAAGTACACATATGAGAGGTTTTTTTATGATGTAATTATGTTGTTCAAAATCAACAACAATAAATAATAAAATAAAATAATGATCCATGCGGTCGCATGGCCTTAGGCCGAGACCAAATGGTCCCAGCATGGGTGAACCATGCGACCGCATGGGTTTGTACCATGCGGTCGCATGGTACATATTTTTTGACCCTTTTTTGTCGTTTTTGACCGTTGCAAATTTGAACTTGGTGATTTTTCACTTGATTTTTTGGCACCATTTCGTACTTCTGGTCGACGATTATATATTAGAGAGCCATGTTTGAGGAAAAGAAATAAGAAAAACATCTTGCAATCCATACTTTGTTCCAAGAAAAATCAAATCCCGATTTATATTCATATCCTCGTGTTCTTCAAGTTTTGAAAAATTTCATCTTGTGCTTTAATGAAATTCTTTACAAGGTTTGTTATAATCTTTCAAACTATTTGTCGGAATACTTTTTAGTATCTCGAATACATTGGAGAAGAGGCAAATAATGTTTGAGGACAACGATTCCGCATTCGAGCCTTCACATTTGTTGATATAAATTTTGTTTTGATCCATCTCGTTGCCATATTTTCTTGTGATTTTCTCTTTTGTTTCTTCTCCATCTCTCAATTATTTCCAACATTCTCAAACGTTATTTGCCCCTGAGATGGAGAACGAGACTACAATGGAAACCATCAAACTTATGAATCAAGACTTGGTGCAGTTGGATCAGTTCAATGGTACAAACTTCACGCGATGGCAAGACAAGTTAAAATTTCTACTTAGTGCATTTCATATCTTCTATATTTTGGATCCAGAATTGGCTCAACTATCGGAACCTACAAATGGAGAGACCGAGGTAGTCAAGGCTAAAAGATAGAAACGACAAGAAGATGAATTGATATGCCACAGTCACATACTAAATGCTTTGTCGGACCTTTTATACGACTTATACACAAACACAACTTCTGCAAAGGAAATTTGAGAAGCATTAGAGAGTAAGTATAAAGCGGAAAAGGAAGGTACCAAGAAATCTCTAATTTCTAAATATTTCAACTTTAAATTCCTTGATAATATCCCTCTTCTTCCCCAAGTATAGGAATTGCAAGTCATTGTCAACAAACTAAAAGCGGTAAAGATTGAAATCCCGGAGGCGTTTCAAGTGGGAGCCATAATTGCTAAACTTCCAGGGGCTTGGAAAGGATACCGGAAGAAGATCATGCATAGTTCCGAATATTATTCCTTGGAACAATTGCAAAAGTATCTTCGGATCGAGGAGGAATCCAGATTGCGTGACAAGAGTGAAAACTCCTTTGAGGGAACTTCCATAATGCTATTGAAAAATCTGAACCGCCAACAAAATCCAATAAGAGGAAGCCTTCGAGGAACTTTAACAAGTCCAAGAAAAAGACCAAAGGAGGGTGTTTTGTGTACGGAAAATCAGGACATTATGCAAAAGATTGTAGACACCGAAAACAAAACAACTTCGAAGGCAAAGTGAACTCCATCCAAGAAGATAAGATCGTGACCACTGTAAGCGAAATAAATGCAATCAAGGGAGAGGTTCCTGGATGGTGGTATGATACTTGTGCTAGTGTACATGTATCATATGACAAAATTGTATTCAAAACATATCATGAGGTGGATGGAGACCAAGAGATTCAAATGGGTAACGAAGTTCGATCCAAGGTTATTGGAAAGGGAAATGTTGATATCATCTTCACTTCCGAGAAAATCGTTACCCTTACCAATGTACTACATGTTCCAGATATGAATAGGAACTTAGTAAGTGGTAATCTCTTAGGAAAATTGGGTATCAAATGTGTGTGTATTCCGGTAAACTTGTACTTTCCCTTAATGGAAAATTTGTTGGAAAAAACTATTCTAGTGAAGGAATGGTCAAACTTTGTACCGTTGACAAAGAAATGAATAAAACTAATTTCGCTTATATTGTTGATCTATTTTCATTATGACATGCTAGATTAGGGCATATTGGTAAAAGTACTATGAAACGTATGAAAAAATGTGATTTGATTTTATATGATGAAAATAATGAACATAAATGCAAAACATGTGTAGAATAAAAAATGACTAAAAATTCATATCAAAGTGTGAAAAGGACCTCTAATATCTTGGAATTAATTCATACAGATATATGTGAATTAAATGGCATGTTAACTAGATGTGGAAATAGATACTTCATTACTTTTATTAATGATTTTTCTAGATATACATATATGTACTTGATGAAACATAAATAGAAA